TCTTCTCTAAGAAGACCCACCTTACAATCCACCTTCCATCTATCTACTAGTTGCCTATATTGGAACCAAGAATAAATAATATTTTCTTGTGCTAACTCTTCCCATGATTTTAACTGCCAGTTTTGTCCATCCCATCTAAGTAGCTGTCTATAAGACACCATATCCATTTTAGCACCTCTTTTTATTCCTTCTATCGCATGCCAAGTATAGCCCATAATGGTACTTTAAAATCACTTTTATAGTATTTTCTCCAGGTCCTAAGTAAAGAAATTCTTAGAATATGAGCTTTAAAGACCCAATCCATTTTTTTATTAAATATTAAATAGGCATGCCACCCAAAAAGTAAATCCCATCCCTCTAGATGTAGTATCTCAGGATTTGTCAAATTTACCCAATCACTAATTAGTGTTAGAACCACCGCATCATAGTATAATTTCAAATTCGGTACCTTGAGTCCACCCCTCTCACGGAAGTCTTGCATAATTTTAAACTTAACCCTTGGCTTTTTCCCTGCCCAAATGAATTTATTAAGGCCTTTCTGCCATTCACTTAGATTAATCTCATTCTTCAAAATCGGTAACATTTGAAACAAAAAGAGAAACTTGGGTAGAATATTCATTTTTATCACTGCAATTCTTCCCATGAGGGATAATTGCAACTTCTCCCAATTCTTCAAGTCTTTCTGTACCCTAACCCACAACCTTTCATAGTTATTTTTAAATAGTTTTGCATTAGAAACAGATAACATCACCCCCAAATATTTTACCTTATTAACAATTTCAAAACCAAAGTCTGCTTCTCCTGACTAGTCATATTTTTAGGTAAAATTTTAGTCTTATTAACATTAATCTTGAAACCCGAAACCACACCATAATAATGAATCAATTGTAATAACTTTTCTGCAGAATGAGTAGGTTGCGACAAAGTAACCACCAAGTCATCCGCAAAAGCTCTTAATTTGTATTCTTTTTTATTAACTTCTATTCCTTTAATTTCCTGTGACTCTCGAATTTTGATCAACAATATTTCCAATGTTAAAACAAACAACAACGGTGATAATGGACATCCCTGCCTAGTACCTTTCTCTATTGTAAAAACCTCTGACAAACCTCCATTAACAATAAGTTGTGCCGTTTGTTTTTGATATATTACCGTAAGAGCTTGTACTATCTTTTCACCAACATTCATCTCTTCCATTACTCTTAACATAAAATGCCAATTCAATTGGTCAAAAGCTTTTTCAGCATCTAAAAATATCAGCCCTGCAGGAACTTGGTTATTCTTATCTAAATATTCTAATAAATTGATAATTTGTCTAACATTATTTTTCATATACCTTCCAGTTATAAACCCAGATTGATCTTTATGCACAAGATGATGCACAACCCTCATAAGCCTATTTACTAAAATTTTTACAAATATCTTATAATCCACATTTAAAAGAGATATAGGCCTATAATTCTTTGGTAAAGATCTTGATCCTCCTTTGGAATCAATGATATAAAAGCACTACGCCATGAAGGAGGAATCTCTAGACCCTGTAAAATATCATTAAAAAGATCACCTAATGGCTGAATCATCTCCTCCATTAAAGCTTTATAATAAACAGCTGTTAACCCATCCATACCCGGTGCTTTCCCTGGTTTCAATTGTTGAATTGCTAACGCAATTTCCTGCTTAGTAATTAAACCATTAATTTCCTGTTTCTGATCCTCTGTCAGTTTGGGAAAACTAGCCTCGTTTAAGTATTTATTTATATCTAAAATTTGGACATTGGTAGATTTATATAATTTTTGATAATAGTCCAAAAAAGATTTCTTAATCAATTCCTTCTGAGAAACTAATTTACCCTGATAATTTATTTTATCTATTATTCTCTGTCTCTGTTTCTTTCTTAACTGGTAAGCCAACCATCTCCCTGGCTTATTAGCATTACAAAATGTATTTTGTTTCATAAACAATAAGTTGGTTGCAGCTTGATCCGCTAACAACATATTAAATTGTGTCCTTAATAACTTTACAGATTCTTTAATACTTTCATCAGAAGGATTTAAAATCAAAGACTTTTCTTTTAAATTAATTTCATCTTCCAATTCTTTACGTTTCTGAGTCTGCTTTCGCTTATGACAATTATTCATTTTTATCAAGATACCACGCATAAATGCTTTGCCTGCATCCCATACCATTGACATTGAAGTCCCCTTATACATATTTAAAGCAAAATAATCCTTTAAACACTCCTTTAACTTTTGAACATTCTTTTCTTGTCTGAATAGATTTTCATTCACTCTCCAGGATCTTCTCTCCTCTTTTTCTTGAGTCAACTCCATCCAAACTGGACTATGATCCGTCAGCGACCTAGGAAAAATCTTTACATTCTTTACTCTATTATATAAGTCCGTTGTAATCAAAAAAAAGTCAATTCTTGAGAAGGATTGGTGTCTATCTGAAAAATAGGTGAAATCTCTCTCCTCTTGATTACATTCCCGCCAATAATCCCTTAGTTCCCAGTCCTCTTTCATGTCAAAAAAGGCTTTAGGTAATTTTACTTGTTTAAAAAAAGGAGAAGAACCTTTCTTATCCCTTTGTATATCTAAGACACCACGGATCTATAGTCCAGCAAAGTTATTTTTTGATGTAACAACCTATAAAATTGTTCCTGTTGCTGATTTGGTGCATAGAGTCCCACTATAAGTACTTTCTTACCATATAAGCCAAGTTCAATCATCACATATCTTCCTTGGGGATCTGATTCTACCAGACAAGCTGGTAAATTTTGCTTCACATAGATAACAACTCCCCCCTTTTTCCCAGGAGCAGAAGATACAAAATGGGATCCTAGATGAGCATTAACTAAATATTTCTGATCCTTATGTAAAATATGAGTTTCCTGTAAACAAATAACATCATTGTTATGTTGCTTCAAATAGTAGAAATTTTTTTTCCTTTTCTGAGGAGAATTCAATCCGTTAACATTCCAGGTCAGAAACTTTGCCATCACCCTTGGCCAGGAGCCCGGAGAAGACACCTTCGAGATCTGCCATTGCTGCATGTGTTGCATAACTCTTGGGTCTTGCTCCTCCCACCGGCAATGATGCACTTTCAGAAGAAGCTTCTTTGGCCTCTTTCTTACGTTGCTCCTTCTCTTTGCGTCTATAAGCTGCACGGGTCATTCTCTGCTCTTTAACCTCCGTTTGACGTTGCCATTCAGCTTGCAGCATCCCAGCGGAGACCAAACCTAATGCCTCAGATTGCTGCTCCGACTCTTTGCCACTCAAAGATTTCTGAACAGGTGGAGCTGAGCCTGCACCCAGGACCATATTGTAAAACTCTCTGGCTTTGTCAACCGTATTCAATCTGTAACGTGTCCCCGCATGGCTCAGAACAATACCCATCGGGATTTCCCATCTGAATGGCATCAATCTGGCTTTAAGCTCATTGGCTAGAAAAGAAAAATCTTTCCTGTTTCTTAAAAACTAGATTTCAATGTATCTTTTATGTAGTTTTGTTTTTTAGCTTTTTAAAATTACTAATTGTACCCCACCTTCTTTATGCTGGTCTATGACCCTGGTCAATGGGGTTCATTCATGCCTTTAAAGTTATTGTGAGTGCAGAAAATGTGAATTAAAAACACTCTCATAGGGGCGGGCATGCTGCACTCCCTATATACAATTTGCCAGATAGAAATTATCAAGAGATACATAGATAATACTCCTAAGAGAGACCAGAGGGTATTTGCCATCTGGAGTGCAGCAGTGTGGTGAATCAGCTTTATGAGATAGTTATTGAAGCCAATTAGATTAATTATCACTCTTCTATTTCTATATGTTTCAGTGTTACATGCTTATATGCTCCAGTCAAGCTCTTTTCATAGGTAGAATAGTATTTCCCTTTCAAAATTAGTCAAATCCTTGCTTATCCTATATAATATTTCATTGTCATTAACTACATAGGTAAACTCCAAGAATAACCAATATACTTGTTGGTATATCTTTATTGAAAACTCATTGTTTTCTCTTTATTATTTAATATTTATTATAAAATAATCATATTAAAATTTAAAAACTGCTTAAGTGTTTCTATCCCCCTTTCTTTTTTTACTTACCAAGATTTGCTAACTAAAATCTTAGTGTTCCAGTTATGACCAAACAAGAGTCCAAACTGAAACCTCATTGAAAATCAGTTCCTTGTCTTCTGCAATGGACAATGAATACATAAAGTAAAAAAATGTAGAATGTAAAAACAAATACATGTACATTTTGTGAAAGAGATGCTTGTGCCTTTTGAAAAATTCATGGCGGTCCCGTCCTCTCAACTTATACAATTGTAGAAAGTTAAGTGTTCAAAATACTCCCAAACCCTAAAGTTTTTGTCCAATTTATACAACCTAATGATGCATCTGCAAATACAGAATTACTTTCAGCTTTGACTGCAGTAAATGACAATTACAATAAAGTTATGGGTACAGGGTTGAGGAAGTCACCTCTCCTGGGTAACGACTTACTTAACAATGATTACTGAATTAGCCCAATTAGAATTATACATCAAACAGAATGATGGTTACGCATCATATTGAACTAACGCCGGTAGCTGAAGTCAAACACTATAAATTATAGACTAGGTAACTATTTACTGCAGTATATTGTGCAAACCAAAACGCTGAATCAAAAGGAATCACACTTGCTGTTGTGATGTATACTAAGTAAAACAGTTTCTTTTTCTGCGGAGAACCGATTGACTCAGTCTTTTGTCTTTAATTTTGGATTAAGTAATACTGGGGCTAACGGTTAATATAAATATTTTATTTTTTTGAAATATACAAGGTATTTTCTGTATTGTGGAGGTAATATAAAAACCAAACGGCTTTCTTTTCTGCATCAGAAAAGCTAATAAGAACTACACTAGACTGAACAAGCTGCTAAGAGAAATAAATTCCTTATTTGCCAAAACCCGTTCGAGGCGCTTTTTTATTTTTTTTTGACCCCATTTTCTATCCGTAGGTGCGGTTCTCTCACTTCCTCTGTGATTATTGACAGCGACATGGCGGTAACTCCTGCAGGGATGGCGGTGGATGTTCAGGCACGATTTGGGCATTCGGTGAAAGGACTGCTGACCGAGAAGGTGGCCAACTGCGGTACGGATATAATCGCTCTCACTAAACAGGTGCTCAAGGGCTCCCGGAGCGCCGAGGTAGGTGAGACTACGCGTTCCCTCCCCCCCAATAGTACTCCGGAACTCAGGTTTAGTCAATACAAGAGGTTTGCAATGTATGGTGGGATTTGTAGTCTCTTTGAACGCTTCTGCTGGCAGCGTTTCTAAGGGAAATAGTGCTAGAAAACCCAGGGCTGACCTAAAGCCGGTTAGTTTCATGGGATAAAGATGGTCAATTGATTCTTCTTAAATGTCAGGGGATGGAACCGATGATTTTAACACATTTAGATGCTCAGTCACAGTCATCCGATATTATACTTAGCACCTCTATTTTAAAACTGAGATAGTTCAGACCTTTTGCCTATAATAACAAACTTTATATACGTATAGTGGAAGTGTTCTGCTGCTGATTTAGCCAAGCAAGCCAATAAGAAAGAACGGAGACTTTTATTCTTGAGTATCATTGATGTTGCTTTCCTAAGGTTAAACGCCTATTTGTTTCTGCCCCAAAGACCCAAGTATGTATCAACTATTATCACACTAGGTTTTTGAAGAAACTAGACGAAAAAGCAGTAAATTCCACGGAAATCCTGTAGTAGAAATTAATATTGAATGGTGCTGGATATGTGTTGCACAATTGCCGAAACCTGTCTGGAAGTAATTTTAGTAAGGAATCATGGCAAGATTTGACTATAAGCATATCCTTATGCTTTCCTGAGGCATACATCTCCCATCATCCTGTTTATGTGATGGTGATAATATTTGTGGGAATTGCATGGTAATTGAGCTGAAAGGTATCAAATTAAACTGGCTTGGTATGTTTTCCACCAGCCCTAAACTTCAATCCTTGATTCACAAACAAGTAATTACAAATTGCTTACCCTCAGGATATATCTGCTGAACCAGCACAATTGGTGATCAAGAAATTTGAGACTATCAGTTTAAAACAGGCTTCTATAAATCACGATATATATTAGTATAATTAATAATTACCATAAATTTTGTATTACACCAAAAAGTTTCACTTATCCTTAATTGTATATTATGAAGCTTCTTATACATAATTTCAGAAAATCCTTTTTGTTTAGAATGTTTGTCCAGTAAGTTATTGCTTCTGGATTAAATATGAGTTCATAAGGATATAATTACCAAATCTTATCTCCTGAAAGCTCACTATTAGCGCATTGTCAGCCTTGAATAACAGTGGAAGAACACTAGCTTGAAGAACATAAAGTTCATATCTCTTCCTATGGCTTTCATGTCTTTTAGTTCCTAGGACAGGCTGCCAGAAATATGGTGATGCAAGAGGGTGCCATTCTGCATTCTGAAGATGTAAGTATGGAGTAGAATACTTGCCTGCTAATATTAAATACATACCTCTGTGTGAGTTGAAAGACATGTAGACAAGGAAATGTCAAGTTCAGGGTTGAAAATGAAAAGATTTTTATTTTGTGCATAATACCAGTCAGTCATTTTAATAAATAAAGTTAGGAGAAATCATTGTAACACAAAACATGCATTTCTATACATATGGAAATAGATCAGCAGAAATGTAGCTTTTGCTAAGGAAGAATTTGAATGAAATTATTCCTGAGCAAGAATAGAGGTCTTAATATCACAAAAAATGGAGGGTAAAAATGAATATTGCCAGACATAAAACACTCACTTGCCAGAAAGTAAAGCAGTGGCACAACTTTCTGCTGCTTTCTCTTGTGCAGAAATTCTTAACCTGAGGTACATGGGTAGGTTTCTCCAAAGTCTAAAAGGGGTCCATGGCATACACAGACACACAAAATTAGAATCCTATAGTGTATTAAATCTCTCTCTGCCATCTACACCTAACTTTACTTTGTGTTTTTTTTTTTCTGGGCTGTAGGACGTACATAAAAAAAATGTACTAGATTTCAGCAACATGTTATTTTCCTAGATTTATGTAGGCTCAGAGGCATTGTTACAAATATTATGCCTGAGACTTACTTTTGAAATTAAAAGATCTGTTTTGAAAAATTAGCGTGGGCTGGAAAATTGGGGAACATTGGGATAGATATTTGTGGACATGCTGGTACTCATGGATAACATGTTGGAGCCCCGGACCACATTTTCAGGCTTCAGCCTAATGAGGCCTTTCCCAATTTGATGCTTTTTGATCGGTTTGGATTCTTAACTCTCATAATTCCCTACTATTGTGACCTTTGCCTTAGGAATATGGGGATTGTAGTTTAGCATACTAGAAGGGCATCAGACTGTGGAAGACTAGTTTGGAATGATGCATAGCTTTACATTTTTCAAACAGTTTATTTAGCTTTTCTCTATTTTTTCCAAGGAAAGTGTTTATCACTAACCAAAATTTCTATGAATATATTATTTATTTTTCTAGTGTTAAATTGTAGTGTACAAATGTGGTGGTAGTTACCCAGATGGATTGTTGTTGACTTTACTAATGCTGCTATTGGGAGAAAATAATTTGTGTAAGAGTTTAATTATCATCATTATCATCATCTCTACTCATATGAAAAAAGTGAAAGCCTACGAAAGCAGTTATTTTAAAATTAGAGATTTATCAAAAGTGCATGTTTTCTTCAAATACTAGGACAGCTAGGGAGAACTTAGTATGTGATTATTTCTCATTATCATGTAATGCCAAATGATGATTGATTGTTCACTTCATTGAGGGAAAAGGCATTTATTTCATATACTGTCTCTTTGCAGAGTTTAAGAAAAATGGCTATTATAACTACTCACCTACAGTACCAGTAAGTATATGTACCTCACACACTATATTTGATGGGATAGTCTCCCTGGAAATGCAAATAAATATATAAAAAAACCTGATAGCATATTTTCAAATTTAAAGATTTTATTGAAAAGCTTCATGAAGATTTTCTCATTTTAGTCAGATACATTGTTAGTCTGAAAAGATGCTAATAGACTCCTCATTATTGATTGCCGCAGAGTAACACAGCTCTCCTACAGCTAAAAATACAACTGAGAATGGTATAGATTACATTTTACAGGGTGGTGGTGGTGGTTAGAAATCAGCATTTTACATTTTTAATGTCAGTGTTATTGCATCATTTCAGGGAAAAAGTGAAGCATTACAGAAGTAAATGATCCTTAAAACCTACCAGAATAGGAAGTTTTTGCCCTGATTTTTGGAAAATTGTGTTTTTAAGGATATTCCTGCTTTATCCTTTACCCTCCCAAACTGAAAAAAAAAATTGAATTTTTAATCTTTCCTCATTACAAAAACTACAAACACATATTGGGGCCCATATGTATCCAGTGACTTACCTGGTAAAGTTTATCTGGGATGTGTCTGGAAACAATTCTAATCTTGGTAAGATGGGCGGCTCTATGAATTGTTTCTCAGAAAAATAAATTCAAATAAATGAATAAGGCCCATCCATCAGCAACATGATAGTTGGAAGCAAGTCTTTTCCTTCATAGCTGATTTGCATGGAAGCCTCTTTTTCCAGGTAATGAAAAAAAATAATCACACTCTGCCCTTCTGAATGTAAAGCATAGCATTCCTCTGTATGGTTCAAAGGCCAGAGGTTTGGAATGCAGTGAATGTTTCCCTTTCCAAGGCCCCACTACTTACTTTTGTCCTGTTTTGTAGGGTAGGGCAATCCAAAGCAGCTTTGGGGCTATATTAAGTTCCCTACCATTGGATCACTTTGCCCAAGGTACAAACATTATTGGATACCAACCCAAAGGGTAGAAAATAAGTAAGGAGCTCTGGTGGGCAATATAAAACAGATATTACTGCCTTCAGTTGTCCTCTTCCCACAACACAGATTTATTTGCATCATTAAAAATAACCTAAATATGTCAGTTATTTCTAGATATATCAGTAAAGTCAGAAGTTTGTTTGATTTCCATGGATCCTCAGCAATAAATCAGCACTCCCTTTTATCAACTCAAAATTCATTTCAACTCACATTGTGTTTGTTTCCCCTTTAGGCAAGAAGCTATTCAAAAAAAGTAAGTATGCTGTTTCTGTTTGATTGGGGGATTATCTACTCTAGAAGTCTTTATTACTGCTTTTTCAAAATTTGCTTGCATCCATTTTATTCGTGTAGATGTTTTTTAAATTGCAAATTCGGTAGAGTTAGGATTTTGCTGCCTCTTTACACAGCTTACTTAATTTGCACTTTGTATTATTAAATACTAAATATTAATATTCAGTATTCAATATTATTAAACACTACAATGATTTAATGCTACATTAAATACCTTGCTTTTTAAAACATATATTAAAATGTGAAAAAAAAAAACATCAGTGAAAGCTCAGGTGATTTTTATGGTGACAAGAAAGTAAATCAGATCTGGAATTGCTCTGCCTTTTCCCATCTTCTGCCATATTTTTTTTGGTCCTACTGATTTTTATGAGAGATTCTTTATTACTGAAGCTTGCATTCTGGAATAAATACAGTAGTGGCCAAGCTCTCTTGGACACAATAGCACTTACCTCTGAGTAAATATGCATATGATTGTATTGGAAAGGTATTTCATATAAGGACTAGGTTTAATCAAATTCATTCTGCCAATAAGCATCTTTTTTATGACTTTTAATTGTACTTCATCTTAGTTTCCTTGTTTTCTCCTCTCTTTCTATCAGAAAAATATGAGCTGCAAATGATGTGTACTCAAAAGTTTGTATATGTAGTAATCTAATAGTTTATATATTATAGCTAATATTTTGTTTGTATTCATTCACATTTATTAAATTTGTTTGCCGACCATCTGCCCACAGGTGACATTTCTTGCTATAAGTAAATTGTAAGCTTTTTACCTTAATTAATTCTATATTAAATATTGAAACAGTAATATTTGTTACACATAAAAATAAATTATGTCCCATTCTTCCAATCTATTCACCATTATATTACATAATTTGGGAAGAGGAGTTCAACGGATAAAAACAGCATGTGCCTCCTTATTTTATTCTGAAACAGCTAGATGCATCCTTTATGTTGTGGAAGTCTTTTTTTTCAGCAATTATAGCTAAGTATCTATATCCACTTGTTAAACTCTCCCACAGCGTTGAACAGTCTTCAAATTTGCGTGATCAGCTGAGCCATCTGCTAAAATGAAGAGAAGAGTTTGTAAGAGGTAACAGTTGGAAAAGAGTAGAAGAAAATACACAGTGGGGGTTTACAGAATATCTTTCCCTGTTCTACAGATGCACTATAAGACTGAGTCAGAAGTCATCTCCCAGATGTAATGCCCCATCTGATCTGGAAATGTGGACAATTTTTAAATTACAAATGCTACCTTTAGGAGAGGGTAGATGCATCGGTGTATTAAATGACAGTTTCTGTGTGTTGATGCCAGTTTCTCTTTAGCAGCACTTATTTCTTTAAGAATTCATATCATTCTAAATAATCAAATATTTCTTGTTCTGGTTTTGAGTATTTCAAGAGATGAATTTTTCCTCCTTTCAGACTGTTTGAAAAGTCATAAATTTATAGTGCAAATGCTTTTCATAGTATAGATCACTGATCATAAAAAAACATAGATAGTCCTCAACTTACAATTGTTTGTTTAATAACAATCCAAAACTACAATGGCCTTGGAAAAAGTTACTTGGGACTGTACTTGCACTTACAACAGTGGCTCTCAACCTTCCTAATGCCGCGACCCTTTAATACAGTTCCTCATGTTGTGGTGACCCCCAACCCTAAGGGCTCTTCAAGCGCGCACTGATGCCACCCACTCACTCACAGCACCTGTGGTTCAGTGCACCTTGCCTGTCCTCGCCTCACTTCCGAAGGTCGCCGGCCTGCCCGGCTCCAGCTGGCTGGGGAGGGGGGGCAGGAAGGCCGCTCCGCCAGCTCCGCCCAGCCTGGTTGGAGAAGCGCCCAGGCGGGGGGAGAGAGAGAGAGAGAGAGAGAGAGAGAGCGCCAATAGGGCGACAGTGCCGGCAGAGCTTAGTTCAGCCTCCTCCATGGAAAGGGCCGCAAAGCAGCGCAGCCTCCCTTAGAAGATGCTTGACGAAAACGAATACGGCGCTGCAACGGCCTCCAGCTCAAAGCCATGCGGAGACGGATAGAGGAGCAGTGTCTCGGTTCCTAAGACCATCGGAAATATGTGTTTTCCGATGGTCTTAGGTGACCCCTGTGAAAGGGTCATTCGACCCCCAAAGGGGTCGCGACCCACAGGTTGAGAACTGCTGACTTACAGCCGTCGCACCACCTCATGATCACAATTGCAATGCTGGCATTTTGCAGCTGGCTTGTATATACAATCATTAGCAGCATTCTGCATGATTATGCTTTGCAATATTTTTTTGTTGATTTTTGACAAAAATTGTCCATTGGGAATGCTGGATTTGCTTAACAATTGTGTGATTTGCTTAATGACCACTATAAAAATTGTTGTAAAACTGAGTCTGACTGAATTTATGACCACAACTACTTATGACAGAAGTACTGGCCCCAATTTTGGTTGTAAGTTGGCGACTATCTGTACATGTCTAGTTGAAATTCCTGCACTTATTATTTACATCTATAATATTGGTGGATTTATACTGGTTGTGATGGTTTTGGCAACTGTGCCTTTGTTGATAATTCAACAAGCTAGTTAAAGCCTTGTTTAATATGGGAACTTAGCCATTCTCTTGAAAAGGATAACTCTTTGGGCATACTATCTTTAATTCATGCGTAAAATGTTTTCCACTGATGTAAAAAAATGTTTATCCTATCCTATACAGTACTGATAGAGAATTAAACTGTGCATGATTTCTGGCAGCCACTATGTGTATATAATTTTTTGATTTAATAATTCCATCATTGCTAAGAGGCCAGAGTGGTAGAGGAGAATGGTGCTATTTAACAATTGCACTTCCTAAATATTTTTCTTTTCTGTCCTGCAAAATCTGTTCACTGACATTCTGAGGAGCTCAGAGTGAATATCTAACTTCAAAGAAAGTACATGTTTTCAAGGTCTGGACTCTTTGTTTCTTCCAATCTTATCTTAAGTTAATGAGGACATAGTCTGCTTGAGTAGAAACCTGGGAATTTACTTACTTAGATTTGCTTTAAATTCCTAATTTAAGCAAGTTTCTTTTTTAAAAAGGCATGTTTTGTTCTGTAACAATGCTTACATTTAGAGTATAATCTTGTACATAGCAATAAATATATAAGCATAATTTTGAAGTAAACATAGAATTCTGTTATTTTTCCCTATTTCTTGTTGCATTATCTGTTATGTGAATATAAACTGTAATGAAACAAATCTAGGGCTACGTTATATATATTTCCTTATGGTGATACATCTGTTGTCAGGTTTCGCCTTAAGAAACATTCTTACATTTTCACTGCTGCTATGCTTCTTGAATTCACCATGGTGTCATTAAGAAATTCTCTGCCTAATTAGTAATCTGCTCAGATTTGATTGTGGAGAGTCTTGGAGATACTGCATGTCTACAATAGTAGGCCATTTTAAAAGCAACTAAAAGCAGAGCTACAATATGCATTCAAAATATATTCATTATGTCAATTCATTAATTAGTAATGTTTTTCATAATCCTCTTTTAAAAAGTACTCCTGGTTTCCTTATAAAATTGCAAACCTTTTGTTTATACACAGGAATTATATCAGAACAAATAGTTTCATTATAATATTAAAATTATTTAATTATTATCTTCTTGGTAATGCTGGTTTTCATAAACAGTAATAATTAGAATAACTGACATGCTATTTTTAATATTCTATGCATATTTAATTTTTGGTAGATATTGTAGTAAATTAAAGTTCAAATATTCAAAATAAAGTGTAATTATATGAAACACATCTATACAAGCATCTACATGATATTTCATTAAAGTAAATGGAAAAGATGTAGAATGTGTAAAACCTATGTAGGATTGAATAGGAAGCTCTATTCATCACAGCATGTGGAATAAACTTTGGCTGATAGTAAAAAGCTAAGTTAATCAGTAAGGAATATTTGTATAAGGGGGAGGAAATTTACATTGGATGCTTATTTGTATTAGTTTTAATGTTGCTATCAATATGCAGTTTTATTGTTTGATTTATTATATTGATTTAATGAGTTGTATTAGAATAGGTAGAAGTGCTGAGTGTTTTATTTAAACAGATGGAATGATGAAAACTGCTATATAATCAGTAAGCTGATAGAAGAAGAAAACATATATAACTGGAATAGGCATACCGTATATTCCGGCGTATAAGACGACTTTTGAGAGCGTTGAAACAGCATCCGAACTCGGGGGTTGTCTTGTACGCCAAGTCGTCTTATACGCCGGAAATAAGGTAGTTTCTGGCATATAAGACGACTTTCTAGGCATGCGACTTGGCGTCGATCGTCTTATATGCCGGAAATACCGGTAGTTTCCGGCATATAAGACGACTTTCTAGGCATGCAACTTAGCGTCAATCGTCTTGCAACCCGGCGTCGAACTTGGGGGTCGTCTTATACGCCGGGTTGCCCTATATGCCGGAATATACGGTATATTCCAGATAGATCTACACATTTTTTAGATCTACATTGCTTAGATCTACACATTTTTACTAAGCTGTAATATGATTGGTTTGGGCTTGCTTATAAATAACAGTTTATGGCTTAGCATATTATGTAAATGCAAGCATTTGTGATATATTTTTATGCAAATGACTTTTTTTCCTCCATCCCTTGCAATAACTTTCAGAACAGACATGTTCAGACATCCATGCTTATATATTTTAGTGCTGGTCTACAGGAGGCTAACAATTGGTTTTCATAGGAGAAGAAGGAAGGCTTCTTTGTCTGCAATTTGAAACGTATTAAAACTTGCTGACTGTACAATATCTTACTTTTAGTTTGGTTTCCTTTCACCCACATGTCCAGTTCTGGTCTACTGCAAGAGAGCTTAAGTAAGGAGAACTACCTGGACACCCCTCCCAAATTCTGCTCAGGGGAGGGGAAAGGATCTAATATAACTATTGTCTTACTCCAAAATTGTTTATTCTGTTTAAGATGAAATTTACTTTTACACTTGTTTTTTAAAGTATCTAAGTGAGCATTTATCTCCTGTTACCTCTGTTGTGGTGATTAATGTCTGTCTTATTAAAACAAAGTGACTTGGCTGGGGCATCTTTGGGGGAGAGGATTAAAGGTAAAGTTTGAACTATCTGCATAAGTGTTAAAGTAAATAACAGTTTTTGGTTTAAAAATTGCACAAATCATCAGTTTCTTTGCTTGATTTTGGTTTAGTGTGTCGTGTATCTAGCCCAGTGGTTCTCTACCTGTGGGTCGGGACCCCATTTGGGGTTGAATGACCATTTCACGGGGGTCGCCAAACAATGCAGTCCGCCATTCTTTTTCCCTTTTTCCTTAGCTGTGCTACTCCTTTTATTCTATTGGCTTTTGAAAGCCAATAGAATAGACTCTCTTGAATAGAGTCTAATTCTATTGGCTTTCAAAAGCCAATAGGAATTGTCCAGGCTGTCTCTGCCCTGCTGAGCCTGCCAAAAATCCCATTCTGCAAACGGTGCTGCAAGTTGTCCGCAGCGAAGGCAAGCTGTCTGGAAGCTTCCACCCCTCCCTGGTGATCAACTACTAAAAATGTAAGTAAAAGAGCGCCAGGGGTGGGAGGTGGGAGGCCGGCGGGCGCAGGGAGGGTTGCTGGCGCGCGTGGGGCCCGGCGGGTGCCTTACCTCCCTTGGGCTGGGCCAGCTGGTGGCCCAGCCGGTGGTCAGCCTGCGCCGTCTCTGCCACTTGCCAGCTATGCCTACGCTGGCGCAGGGGGCGGCACCACGCATGCATGGCGCTCCCGGGCAGGGAAAGTCCTCGACTTACAACCATTTGGGGGTCACGGCATTAAAAAGGTTGAGAACCACTGATCTAGCCCATGTGCAAATCATGATACCAACTGGTGGCAAAAAGTAATTCCTGGATGGGGCAGATTTCCTCTCCCCTCTCAAATTTTATAAGTCTAATAAGCAAGCAAGCAAACAAACAAAACAGAAAAAATAGGTGCATTGATACCATGGAGTCTCTGTTTTATATGTGTTCTTTTCCTATAAGTCCTTGGCTGAATTTATACTGGTCATGATGGTTTGGGCAACTATCCCTTGTGGATAATTCAATAAGCTAGTTAAAGCCTACGTGGGACCTTAGTCATTCTCTTGCGGGGAAAACAGTCAGGGTATACTATTGCCAACTCATGAGCAAAATATTTTCAACTGATGTAGAAAAAGTTTTATCCTGTCCTATACAGTGCTGGTAGAGAATTAGCTTGTGCGTGTCCTATACTAGCCATAGGACAATCATGCATCAGGATCCTGCCATATCTGCATGATGTTGCCTTTATCTTATTCCCAATCTGTCATTTCTTCCCCAAGCCATGTATTAAGCAGTTTTAACTTGTCCTTACCTGTTCTGGTATAAAGGTAGGGTTTTCTAATCTTTTGTTTCACTATAGAGTCCTCATTCTTCTTGTCAGCTATTGGCCAGGCTTATTTTCAAGGTACCTATATATAATGTAAAAAAATTAGGAGTGACTTTTGACCAATCTGTATCAAGCCATTTGTCAAAATTCAGGTCCTCCTGAAGCCTCCTCCTAGATTAAGGAGAGCAATTGGACAGACAGACAGACAGACAAAAAAATGGTTAAAACATGGGACAGTTGCTGTTGTACACTAAGGAAACAGAACTTCTGAAAGGAAGATATACTGTATATGAAATTCTAGAGAGGAACAGAGATAATATGAGATGAAGGCTTTCATATTGGCAAATGTGAAGAATTTTTTAAACTTGTCCTAAATAGGGAGAGCTACTAAGAATGTGTCTTAGTGTCCTCCTACTGCTCTGCTCAGGTTAATATAGTGCAAGAGAGGATAAGCGTAAGCTATTCATTGAGAATGTCAGAATTGTTAGGGTTTGCAATTGCATTCTGCAAAGTTTTACATTTTCCAAACTAGATAACAGCATTGCAATTCCTAAGCCATACTTTCTTCAAATATTAATTAGGGCTGACCCTGAATAGGTTCCAAAAACAGCCAAGACAGCAAGGTGCTATATCTCCTGAGGGACATGATACAGATGTCTGAAATTGTTCATAACACAGAAAATAGGAACAGAGCAACTTTTGTCCTCCTTTTACCATATAATAGAATCCAAAGTTATCTACTGAAGCTAATTTCAGGGAGATTCAGGAAAAAAAAAACACTTTTTAACACACGTGCTACTAAATAATTCCTTCTAAAGAAATATACCTGCCAGTCTCTGCCATAGAGGAATATAGATTCCAGGTTTACCAGCCCAAGAATCTCAGTCTCATCATCTTCTATGTATCTTTATTCCTTACTTGGCAAAGAAGTGCTATTTTGTGATTGAAGATTCCAAGGAAAGTCACAAAATAAGATATTCAAACCATATTAGCAAATGAATCAGGAAGCAAATACCATAGATTGATAATAACCAAAAATCTCCCTAATTATCTTATAGTACCTTTTAAAACAGATGGGATACAGCAGGAACATATTGCCCGCTGTTATAGCTTGCCATGTGTTTGTTTTATACAATTATGACAAAGGCCAAAGTCTGAAGAAATATATTAAATTGCATGAAGAAGAACCTGGCCAAGAAAGCTGAAGAACAAAAACAAAAATATTGTCCAGCTCGCAATATGTCTACTAAATTCCACAGATACTCTCCACAGTTATTTAGATCTTCACTGCATTTGGTTTGTGTCAATCCATTGCTAGCATTTCATTGCTGTATTCTCATGGTGATTTCCCACTGGGAAGAACTTTTTCCATATCTGTCCTCCATCTCTGCTAAACTCAAGGGTGCATTGCCTTCATGTCAACCTGCTTTTAAAACTGAACTGATGAATGGCCTAATAGTGTCTCCTAATAGTGACAGGCTTTTTCTCCCCCTTGCTATGAAAACACATATAGTGAGGAAATTAGGATAGATCTGTCTACCCACTTATTTTGATATGTAAACCTATTTGGAATGTATACATTTATATTTGGAAGAAATTGATGAGCATAAATGAAGCTTAAACTCTCTGAAAAAGGAAAGAATGTTGTGTGATCCATAATAGTATATTTTGAAAATGCACCGATGCTTCACATTCCCCAGGACCTTTTCAGTTCATCCAGTATGCTTAACTGGATCTTGACCTTTATCCTTCAGCCTGATTTTGCAGATGGTCTATCTATAAGATTTTTGTTCTCTCCCAAGGAAGTCAAACAGCTGTGTGGCCTAGAAAGATAATGTTGTGCCTATTGATTTATGTTAGGAAAGATGGAGATGTTGAAGGCCTCAGAGGCATTTCTTAGATAAGAAATGGAATCTGTTTAGAGATTTGTTAAACATTTAACTCTTTCTCAAAAAGTCTAGTGCAAACCAGTTACTTTATCCCTGTAACATGATGCAAGTTAAAATGCCATCCATGGAGTGCCCAAGCTTAATTTTTGTAATTTCTAGTATGCACAGTATATATGTGGAGGAAAAAACAAGCATTTTCATTCAAGGCTTAATGTCTACATTGAGAAATATAATTTAAGGATAATTCTCTTGTAATTACTGTAGAAATCTAGAGGAAGAGGCAGCTTGCAGCCCTACAGCTGCATTATTTAACTAGATCTTTGCAAGTGATCAATTTATATGTCAAATAAGGAAATTGACTCATCCTCCCCTCTAGCTTTCTAAATGCAGAAGAGGAAAGAAAAGAAAATGTTAATAATTGAGACAAGGGAAGGTGTCAGAAGGGAAGATGGGTAGCTGGTATAGATTTATTCCAAACTCTGACAGTGGTCATATCAGTAAACTCTTGCAGTGTCTTTTGCAATATCTGTGTCCTAGGAGATGAGTATTTACTCCCATTCAGATAAGCAATCCAAGGGAGTTTCTCACAGCTGTTCATTTAAGATTAGGGTCTCAATAGACATTATCTGTAGCTTCAGCCATTTTTCTTCTTCTTTTGCAGATATACTCTCCTTGGGTTGTAATATTAGCCTTGTGGTTTCATCTCCAGCATAGCATCTAACCTTGCATTTAGCTTTCAAATTGACTGAGAGTACAGCAGAATTTTAATTAAATGCCAAGGACAGTATAATCTCTCCCCATGTTTGAAAGTGCTTTATAGAATCATAAAATACAATTTAATAAACTCTAATTGGCTTTGTATATATGAGAGAAAGGGCATGAAATGAAGCAAACAGATGGCTTTAGTTTTTAAGCAAAATACATTCTCTTCATTGGAGAATGAAGGTGCACAATGGTTGCACTTTGAGGCAACTGATACTCTGTGTGTGTGCATGTGCGTGTGTGCATATATAGGTACAGATATAGGTAGAGCAATATAATTGCAGACATAGAAACTGCCTTAGATATATGGATTAATTCAGGTTTTGCTATCAGAAAAAAACTGCAAAATTGGCTGTTGATTAACTTTAAATATGTTGAGTAAGGGCTAAAACATGTTATTACATCCTACTTTTCATCCATCCAGGACATGTTAAGTCTTGCAGTAGTCAAATTTAACGTATGATGGGAAATGTTGTTCCTTAATTTTAGAAACAAAAGAGAAAGGAAACAAGACTGCTTTGTAAAACTGAATAGAGGAGACAGAATAACTAGAATTATTTTTTATCCTCTGTCATGAATACAGTGACATTTTTTTTTGAAAAAAATAAAAATAAAGGAGCAACCTGAAGAAGGGCATAGCTAAAAGAGATTCATAAGAATAAAAAAATTGTTTATAATTTTACAAAGGAAAATTCAAGAGCAAAACTAAGAAAAACTGTGCCTGTGGTGCAAATTCTATTCAGGATTGACCATTGCTGACACCTTTTTTATGTAGTCATTTGTATGTCTTCCTACGTTTAGACATTCAACAACCCACTTAGCTTTCTATTGGGAATCAATCTTGTTGAGCAAATGATGTGCAAGTGCCAGTCGGGGCTTCCTGGATTTGAACCTTATGGCTGATAAATGCTGGTAGGAGGGAGTTGTTCATAATTTTTCTGTATTCTCTCACTAGTGCATCTTATCTTCGTAAAGCTGGTGGTGCTATGAGACTCAGAACAGGAAGCCAGCAAGTCAAAATGGTTTTAATCCACTTATAATTCTCATGGTGTTGTTGACTCTGATATCTAGTTTATAGTATGGCAGCTTTCAATACATACAGGGGCACACTATTCAGCTGCGGAATGAGCTAGCCCTACTGCTGATGACCTGATGTTGGCAGCTGAAGTTCCTCATTTAGTTCCACATAATTTCTGGAGTAAGTTGTTCCTAGCATTGATTTTTGCTGCTATATTTTCTAGATATATCTTGTAGGAGAAAGTCCAGCCCAATATTACTCCAAGGTACTCCAAGGAAATTTTGGTTACTTCCTTTTGTATTCAAACCACAATCATTCAATCCTATTTTTTTCTTCTTTTTCCATTTACATTTGTAAGTAAGTACTTCATTCAGTCTGTTTTGTTTCTCATGAGATAGTTACTTTTTACTTTTCATATTAAAACTGAACAGAAGCACAGTCTAATACAGTGGTTTTCAACCTGTGGGTCGGGACCCCATTTGGGGTCGAACGACCATTTCACGGGGGTCACCAAACAAGGCTGTCCGCCATTTTTTCCCTCTTTGGCCACGCCCCTGGTACCCGGTGATGTATAAGAGGTTGGGGGTCACCACAACATGGGGAACTGTATTATGGGGTCGTGGCATTAGAAAGGTTGAGAACCACTGGTCTAATACATAGCTTTTTTTAAAATTTCAACACACTTTCTCCATGAATTTCCGCAATTTATGTACTTGCTGTTTTTTTGTCATTTATTGCCATTTTACAATTGTTGACTCTTCTCTATCAGATATAACTAAAATATTACGGCAATCCTTTGAAATGTCTATGACAGCTAACATAGCTAGTATCAAAGAAAATTTAAATATAACATTTTTGTGTGTACTGCTCTACATATGCTTCCTATTCTGCCAAAAAAATAAATAAATGGGTGAGAGCCCTTAGTTTGATTTGGCATTGCAAATATATATCTCTGTTCCATAATGCAGTTCTAAAATATACAACAGCCCCATCTGCTGTACAGTCATTATTTTTGCCTATTGCTGTTTTGTTATTTAATTCCTGGTGATTTTTGGAGCTGTTAATAATTGACTCAAATGTAATCACTAAGCATGTGAACTAAAACTAATTTATTTTCTAAAAATAAATCCATTCTAAAAAGGATAAGCAGATCAATTATTAATTATAAGTTTTATCACATAGTGTTTAGATATATACAACTTTTTTAATTTTATCTTTTGGTGTTTTTTGGATAACAGACTATGCTTAATTTTGATAGCTTAATTAATATACTAATATATATTATATTTTATAATAATAATATATTGATACAATTAATATAACTATTCTTATATAGAAATTAAGCAAAGCAGAAAGATTCTTCTTGTTTTTACATTTTTTTTTTTAGTTGATGGACATGGCTGCCCAAATTGC